CAATAGTTTTAGGTGTTTCATAAGCATTACTTTAGGAAAAGGGTTCTACAATAAAATGCATTTGAAAATTATACTATTAATCAAAGTGAAGTTAGTTCCTTGACAGCAGGACTTCATAGACTAATATGGTAAAGTTCATTGGGAATCTATACGAGAGATGAGTTACAGGTTGCAGAATTTCCCAAACTTATTTGACTACAGATATTCTTCATGTGACACAGTCAGTAATGAGACTAATATTTTAAAATACATTTGGGAAACACTGATCTAAGACAATGCTTTCATGGTAGAGGCCAAAACAGAATATCTAATGTGCATATGACTTGCCCAAGGTCAATTAGGTAGAGTTACTGCTAGCTGCCTGGGATTTAAATCCAGTTATTCTGAGTCCATTGTCTTTCTATTCTACTTCAAAGCCTATGTTACCCTTTTTCTTTGTCTACTGCTTACCTTTTTCCTTGTCTACTGTTTACCTTTAAGAAAACAAAATGAAACAAAATAAAAAACACCCCCAAACAAACAAAATCCACAACTATACAGACTTATATTTTCTAAAAGATGTAAAAATTCTCTTACAGTTAGTTTTTTCAAATGTCAAGCAAGGGTTATGGAAAAAAGAGACTAAGATTATAAAGTTTAAATCACAGTGTGACAAGAGGCTTTGACAATTAATAGCTCATGTTATCCCTATAGAGAAGATAATAGATGAACCTGGATTAAAAGTTTCTAGTATTATGTAGAAAAAGATAAAGAACATCACATTTCTATAATATATGAGGCTCTATGTGCCTCCTTGGTAGGGCTTAATAAAAACCAGCGTGTGAAAATATATGAAAAAATTAGAAAATTATCAATACTGTTAACTTCTGACTATCTAAGCCATGAAGTTCAAGGCCAAGAGGTAAAATCTATTCAGTCTGAGATTATCACTTTAAGCTACTGGTTTAATCCACAAAGATCAGATGTCATTGTCATTTGACAAAATAACACAACATTCTAGTGAATAATAAATGCCAAGTAGCTGGAAAAATTTTTAAAGTATTATTTTGATAAAGAGAACATATGCTATGCATCTGGATGACCCATGAAGCATCAGAGAGGTCTGACAAAACCATCTTATTTGAAACATGAAGAGGCTTATTGCAAAGGTGACAGACAGAAAAACTTTTTCTTATAGTAGAATAAAGGTAAAGGTCAGATGGGGAAATAACATTCTAAGGAATCAAAAAAAGTTTTGTTAAAAAGATCATCTATTTTAACAAAAGACAAGTGGATATGTGGTAAAACTAACTGTAAGAATTAGAGAAAATGTGCAAAACATCTCAAAAGACTGAACGATGGAGAAATGGCAAGATATAACTTTTCAAACAAATGTGAGAGAGTAATTAGTATTCACCTTTCCAAGGGACAGAGCTATGAATAAAGAAAGAAATGTATAGGGAAAAATATTCTGATATAATTTTAAGGAAAAAATTGCTAATGATGGCTAGTATCGAATAGGTAGCTTTATAGGAGGCATTAAGTTCTCCATCCTTAGAGTATCTTAGGAGGGGTGAGACTACTTCCTACTGTTCTGTAGGATTCTGATGTATCACATGAGAGTTGGAATAAGATAATATCTAAGATAGAAACTTTTCAATTCAGAGATATAAGAAGTTGGGAGACTTCCTGAAGTTTAGGGATCCAGCCACAAAAGTCTAAAAAATTAATGGAATTTCATTTTAGATCAGTTTACTTATAGAACTATGAATGAATAATATATAGGCAAATTTTTCCTAGGAAGTGAGAGAAGTGAGTGATGCATATTGATTTAGAAAGAAGAATAGCTATTTAGAGAAACATAGAGTATGGTACAGGTGGTAAATCACAGAATCTAAATAATTTGCACTTCTTTTGAGGGAGGAGAGTAAAGAGGAGGAAGATAAAGAAGACTTGAGGGTAGGGTAGTAAAAGGAAGAGGAGGTAGAAAGAAATGACAGAAAGAGAGCATTGATAAATATTTTTGAGGTAAAGCAAGATAATTGGTCTTTCGGGTAGCTTCCATGATATTTTTTTCTTTTATTTTCTCTCTCAGAGTTGTTTTTCTTTCAGAATGTTATAAAGTGAATCATTTTCTTTCATTTCCAAATTCAGCTTGGCAGTTGCCTTGGAAGTACTAATTATGTTTTCCTTACATAAGAGAGGAGAGACCTATTATTGTTGAAGGTTCATTTTTTTAAAACTATTCTTTAAAACTCAAAACAGTTAAGGATTATGTCACAGCTATTTTTGAAATCGTTATATCTACAATGAATATCAAGAAAATGGTAATAAAAATAGCATGATGCCTGCAAAATCCTTTGACAGAATTATTTAGACTGATTTTTTTTAAATTTGAAAATAAAGCTAAAAATTTGAACAGAACCTCAAGAAATTGGCACACAATATCTAGCATATTACAATAGCAGCAGTTAAAAAAATACCAGAAGAGTTACCTACAACCAAACTCCTACAGAACAATGAGTCACAGGTCAAATCAGTCACTATCTATGACAGTCATTACTTCAGAATGAAATTGTCCTCTTTATTTCAATTTAGCACTATGGATATCTAAGTTTGTTTTATTCCTAAGTCAATAAACAATAAAGTTTATATTCTTGAAATGAAGTTGTTAGGACTTATACTCTCCAAACACTTTTCTGGATCAGAAGACACATCTTCAGAAGAATCAACTTTTACATGAAAGGCAAAAAATAAATAAATAAAACCAGGAAATAAAAAAAACAATATCTGAAGAACAAAAATGGCAGTTCTATTATACAGCATAGTGCCTCTAGTTAACAATAGTGTACTGTGTACTTAAAATTTGCTAAGAGGGTAGATTTTATGTTAAGTATTCTTAGCATGTACACACAAAATAAATAAATAGTAGTAGTAATAATAATAATAATAAAAAAAAATAAGGATGGGAGAAAACCGGGAGGTGATGGATATATTTATGGCCTTAATGGTGGTAATGGCTTCATGAGTATATACTTATTCTCAAACTCATAGAGTTATATACATTAAATACATATAGCTTTTTGCCTATCAACCATACCTCAATAAAGTGGTTTAAAAAAGAAAAGAACATAAAGTGGTAGTGACTTCAGGTGGTAAAGAAACCGAAACCTCTTAGTGCAACTCTGATTGAAGTCATTAACGTCACATTTTTTTGCCCATCCAGTTTGACCATACATTTTCTCCTGACAGAATTCCTTCCTGAGTAGTGACTACTGCCTGGGACATGGTAGGTGCTCAACACATTACTCGTTAAATAATGTTATTAGTGAATGGCTATAGGATAACTAAAGGAAAGAAGGAAAGAATTGACTGATAAATTCTAGGAAACAAATGCAAAGACTGTGCTTAGTGGTACAAGCATGGATGTAAGCCAGTTGCCTGGATTTGAAACCTGGTTCTGTACATCGTTAACTATATGACCATAGGCAAGTTAGTAAATCTCTCTATGCCTCAGTTTCCTTTTTCTTACATAAAATAGACCATTGTGAGAAGTCTGTTACATTACAGAAAAGCACTTGTAAAAGTACATGGAAAATAATAAATGCCAAACAAATGTTCATTATCAAGAATATTATAAAGGTCTTATCTAGATAATTCAATATAAAGGTCATTGACATCTATGAAATTAGGCTAGTTGGACCAAAGATAAGCTATCTAGAGAAGGGAAGTGGGCACAATGAACTTTGAGGTTCAACCCACAAAACTGGCACATGTCCTAGAAAGTGCTATTCTGTTGAAAATTATAGATTCTTCTCAAATACCACTTATGAAAGTGTTGGAGATAATGGCACCTTGCAGACATAGATTACATGCTCTATTTTATAAGGGCAGGCATATGACTAGATATGACTAGATATCTTATTTGAGAGCTATCTTCTATTAATTTTCAGTGTTTGATTATTATCCTGTAGATTTGGTATAAAATAGTAAATGAAGATGAAGTAATGTTGTTAAGTGCAATCTCAAATGTTTTACTGCTTATAATTGCCTTATTTTGCCTTAGTTTATCGTATTATTTCACGGCTCAGAAAGGGTGGCCAAGAGTTGGTGTCAATCATTTCTAGGGCTCCTGAAGCATGTGGGCAGATAAAATAGCTGTAGAAACCCTGTCTGAAGAGAGAGGAGGGAGGGATCCATTTACACATGTGACTGAACTCAGATTAAGAATTCTTGGAAGTTAGGGACTGCATCTATGCTGATTGAACAAAGGACCACAGAGAGACATAGAAATGTATGTATCAATAAACCAGATAGTATTCCCTTTGTTAACAAAGCCCACCTCTCTAGCAGTCTGGCTTTATCAGTCTCTCTGGCTAATAAGCGATGAGTTACATTGGAAGAACAACATATAATCTCTGAGCTTTGTGGATATATGAACACTGGTGAAAATTGAGATTTCTGTTTTTAAAATGTCAACAAATCAGATACAATTATACTTGTACTTTTGAGCTCTCTTACCACAAAATCTGTTCTCCCTTCTTTTCTATTACTACTCATGGTCACTGCTATGGACTGAATTGGGCCCCCTCCCCACAAATTTATATGTTGAAGTTCTGTCCCCTAATACCACTGTATTTTCAGATACGGTATTTAGGAGGTAATTAAGGTTATTAATTAAATGAGTTAAGGGTGGAGCTCTAATCAAATAGGACTGGTGGCCTTATAAGAAGAGAAAGAGTTCTCTCTCAGCATAAGCACAGAGAAAAGGCCATGTGAAGATACAGAAAGAAGATGGTCACCTGCCAGCCATGAAGAGAACCTCAACAGAAACCGAATGGGCCAAAACCTTGATCTTGAACTTTCCAGCTTCCAGGACTGTGAGAAAATAATACTTCTGTTGTTTTAGCCACCTAGTCTATGTTGTTTTGTTACGGCAGCTTGTACAGACTAAGACAGTCGCATGCTGGGAAACAACAGCTTCATAAATAAACACGTTGTTTTGCTTGAGTCACACTCACCATTAGTAGTCTGTCTCCTACTTGCAACCTTCCATCCTTTTGTGCAGCTCCTCCATCTATAATTTTAGTTACATAAATGCTGTTGTCTCCAGGAATGTGTTGGTTCCCCACACCTCCTGCAATACTGAAGCCTAAACCTGTAGGGGAGAAACAGGAAAAAGCCAATTAGCCATAGTTCAACAATCTAAGAAAATTAATCCTCAATTTATTATAACATTAATAAATAACAGTAATGATTCTACTTCGATTGTTTTTGTTCTTTAAATATTTAAAGGCTTGTTGATTAATGCCAGTGAGACAAAACTCTTGAAGTCAACCCCACGTGGCCATTAGTTTTGTTCTCTTTCATGACTGAACACTTAACTGTTGTTCCTTAGCTAATCAGTTCATAAATGGGTGACTGACCAGAATAGGGATCAGCCAAAAAAGGTGGAAGGATCCCAGGTACAGTCTTGCTCATGTTAAATCTCTGGGCTCATCTTTACTGATGTCATTACTCTAGCACAGAGTACAGAAGTATTGCCAATCACTGAGTATAGACCTAGATACTCTTGACATTTCAGAATGAAAAGCACAACTGTTAGAAAATTCCACAAATTCTGAAACAAGGGCCCAAGGAAGATACACTGGGCACTTAAGTAATAATTTCAGAGAGAAGATAAGGAAAAGAAGCTAGATACTTGCCCTTCCTGTTTTCTTTTCTGACCATCTTGTCATATTTTCACACTTCCTGGCATTTAATTGTTATTAACTAATAGTGAGGTTTGTCATACAGAAAAAGTGAATTATCCCTATACACATTCTAAAGATAAAGAAATAGATTATATACTTTGACTTTATAATTCTTATAACAAACCACAGACTATCAATTCATTTTAAACATGGCAATTTTCTATTTTGAGAGATAAATTTTACTGTACTATAACTTGTAAAACTTTTATTTATATAAAAATATGGAATGAAAATAAGAATAAAGTTATTAAGTCATTATGAGGCTATTGTAAAGGAATGACAGAATCTTTAAAGGTATAAGAATAAAAGAAAATCCTTTTGGGAATATGATTAAATGTACATTTAATGTAGCATATATTTTCATTGCATTTTAAAATTTTAATGATAATTAACATGCAAATTACTCAGAAAGAAAAAAATCAAATGCTTTTGTTACTAAAAATAGAAAATATCTGTAACTTATTTGGCTTAAGAAAAAAAAATTTAAACCACATACTTAGTCACATAATTTTAAAAAAACACACCTGTTTTATTGTAAAACAATCACAAAAATTTTGGGCATTTTATACAACAATAATGAAAAACACTTTTAAAAATATTCTATTTCACTATGCTTTTATTGAACAGACATTGAGTAAGGCTATTTGCTTTTAAGATGGTATAAATGGTCAGTTAATGGAAAAATAACGGCATAGTAAATTTAAAAGTAACACCTTTGAAATTATATTTTAAATGACTTTTTTGTTAAATTATAATAGTTTTTAAAAATAAATGGAAAATGGATTTAAATTGATGGGGCAATTAAAATAAGTGTTATCTAGTTTCTTACTAAAGTAGGTAATTAATCTTTATTGATGCTTTGACTTCCATAGGTCTATACTTGTATTCCTTTGCTTCAGACTAAAAAAAACTATCAAGCAAAAGATTACTAAGAATAAATAAAATGTTCCCGATTTTCTTTTCCTATGAAATATAAAGTACATATCAGCTCATGTTTTCTAAAACTATAGCTTTATATTTATATAGGATTATAGAGGATTTAAAAAATATATTTACAAAAGTCTCATAGCCACATGCTAGGATCAATCTACAGTACTTATAATAGTACAGAAGTCATTCCAAGCTGTGGAAAGAAAAGGTTACATTCACTATGTCAACAGTAAATGCCACAGACAGTCTGTGTTACAGAAGAGCTAAGGCAACAACTTACCACCTCAAACAAGGTGAAGTCCAACAAAGGAGTAACTATGTAGTTGACATTTGAAGTTAAAGATTATACCAAGACAATGAAATCACTATTAATACTGTAGAAAATAACATATCACTAAAAAAGGAAATAAATTTGGGGGGAGGGGAGTAGGCTTAAGCACTTTATTTTAACTGGTGACTCTGCTCAAGGTGAAGCAAAATATTTTTAGTAAGCTCAAGATAATGTCTCTGAAGGTACAGAACCAAAACATTTCCCTGATTTCTCTTACTTTGATGAAACATGAATACATTTAAAAATAATCAACATTTAATCAACACTCAACCATATTCCAAATATTTAATTCCACATAAGTAAATGTGTAACTTATGTCTACATCCAGAATACAAGTTCATTTATATGTGGGAGTATCCATCTGTGTTATAAGATTGAATCTGTCCCCATTCATTCATTAATTCATTCATTTGCTAACTGACTCATATATCTGTTCATTCCACAAATATCTCTGAGTATATCTATGTATCATTGCTATAGACCTGGCCAACATAATGTAAAGGAATGGATTGACCAGAAACACTGGAAAGAATGATTCATGAGTGGGTTCATATGAGTGAGTGTGATTGAATCTAACTGAAGCAATATTCTAAACTCAGAGCATTCTAGTGATTTTTAGAGGACTACTCTATGAAGACAAATGTGGACTAGGGCCACTGAGCAAAATGAGCAAATCCAAATGATCAGTCTGGAGGCAATGGGTGTTTTTTGCATATACTGTTATAATTGGGCAAGCTGTCAACATTATAGAGCCATTCTCTTCACTCGTTTGCTAATATTTTCCTCCTTCAGTTCATTCTAGATATACTTTCAGGCTTAATCACTCTAGAACATGCCAGACACGCTTCCACCTTAGGCCATTTACTCTAGCTATTCCCTTTGCCTGGAAAACACTTCCTTCAGAGCTTTGTTCAAATTTCAATTGCTCTGAAAGCCTGAAACTGACCTCCTTATTTAATGCTGTCACCTAAACATATACCCCATTTCCTTATCCTGCTCTACTTTTCATTTTCCCTTAGCATTTATTACCTTGTAATATACTATAAGTGGTATGTGTATTTTATTTTATTTTTCTTTCCCCTTGGTGAAAATATAAACTTCATGATGACAGGGATTTTTGCATGTTTTATGTTATGCAATAGAACAAGGCCAGCTATATACAATAGTACTCCCTTATCCGTGGTTTGGCTTTCCATGGTTTCAGTTATCCATGGTCAACCATGTATAAATATTAATTAAAAAATCCTGGAAATAAATAATTCATAAGTTTTAAATTGTGCCCCATTCTGAATAGCATGATGAAATCTCACACTATCCACTCCATTCCACCTGGGACATGAATCATCTTTATCCAAGGTATCTATCCATGCTGTACATACAGTACAATAAGATATTTTGAGAGAAAGAGATGACATTTACATAACTTTTGTTACAGTATATCATTATAATTGTTCTGTTTTATTATTGATGCTGTTGATCTTTTACTGTGGCAAATTTATAAATTAAATTTTCTCATAGGAATGTATCTATATGGAAAAGCATAGTATATACATGAACATAGATATACTTTAAGGAGAAAACAAGTATATTTACTTTCTAGAGCAATTGGTACATAATAGGTGCTTGATGAATAAAAATTCTCTGCTCTCAATAAGCTCTGAAGTTGTTTTGCAAAAGACATACCTAAATATATTGACATGATTCGACTGGCTCGGATAAGTTCTGTGATGGTACTGGTATTATGTGAGCCCAGAGGGGAGCATGACTGACTGAGAGGAACTGGGGAAGAATCAACAAAAGTTTTAGTACTTAGGCTGATACTTGAAGGTTAAGTTGGAACTGATAAAAGAGAATGCACCTTTAAACCCAAAACATACTCTGGATTCCAGAGTGACTAAATGACTAAGAGTCAGCAGCCCTGACTTAGGTTACACAATGCTCATAAAATCCCAGCTCTACTGGGCTGGAAATTAAGCCAGAGAATCCTGGTAAATATTCAAAATATGTATTTATGATGAGATAAGCTAGCGTCACCTATAACAGAATAAATAGAATAATACTCATAAAGATTGGACTAAGGAACACTGAAAGTAGCAAAAACACTGACTTTGGGAAGTGACCAATTTATATAATTGGTCATTATTTTGAAAAGAAGTGTCCGTGATAGTCCTGGATCATCAATTATAAAATAAACTCAGTGAAAAGAGTTTGTAGGTCTCACCATAAACCCTGACTCTATTAAGAATAATACTAAACATGCCTATGTGTGCCAATAATAAACAAAGCTGACATAGGAAAAATGTAAGTGTTATAATCACAGAAGGAAGTAAAAATCGGTGTATATTTCAGTACTCCAGTAAAGGAACAAAAGCATGTAAAATTTAAACACCTAATTCCCTAAGCAATTAAAAAATGATCTGTTTGACAAACATGTGATGTGCAAACAAAATTTCAGTTTACATCTATTGAATAAAGCTAGGTTCCTCTTTTCGTATTTCTTGCATCTCCCCAAAATGCAGCTCCTCACTTTAACATAGGAGATGTACACAT